TGGGGATGCGAAGAATATTTGAAACGACTTTCGAACCATCACACGGATTCCGACCCAACTACCGTAAGAACAGAATGGAAGGGCAAAAAAGGATTCTATGAGACCGGCTTCGGAATTACCAGGGGAACTGCTTCCAAATAAATCAGTCAAACTGAAACCCCTTCCTCCAGCGCCCTCACCTGATCCTGAGCCAGAGGCCCCCAAAGGAGCCATCATGAACAAGGTTCTAGCACCATGCCAAATGTGTTTGAAGAAGAAGAGCAAAGCAAACGAAGCATGCCCAAAAGTAAACCAACCCCTTGGACTGCTACGAAAAACACCATCGAATTTCAAAGTAGCACGATCTAATTCGAAAATTTCACCCAATTGAGCATGTCTAGCATAGGTTCTCTTTCAAAAGTAGTTTTGTCTCATCTGTTAGAGCTTGAAGAATTCCTAAAGGGCCAGCATATTCAGGTTCGATACGTTGTTGTATTCCTACAGATATTTCTCTTTCTAACCAAACAATTACTAGTACACCTATTATGATTCCTAATACAAGAGTCAAAATAGGGACAAGCATCCATATGATCCCATAAACTTCTTTTAAGGATTCCAATTTGGAAAAAGAATTGATATTCTCTATTTCTGTTGTATCAATTATCATTTCAACGATCAACTTCTCCCATAATGATATCTATGCTACCTAGTACGCCAACTTGATATTTTGGTATTATCGCCACAAAGAAGAGCTTTCAGATTTCCTAAACTTATGAAGTCTTGTTTCTGTAGTGGACCAATTAGTTAACATACCGCCAAGCCATTTTTTATTAACATAATGACAAGAACAATAGCTAAAGGGCCTGATACTACCACTTGGATTTGGAACCTATATGTTGATGCTCACGATTTCGATAGCCATACCAGTGATTTGGAGGAGATCTGTCGAAAAGTATTTAGTGCACATTTCGGTCAACTCTCCATCATCTTTCTTTGGCTGAGCGGCATGTATTTCCATGGTGCTCGTTTTTGTCCCAGAGGTCTTCGAGCCTTGGCATTTCGAATCCCGTTGAATGACTGTGGTTTCGGGACTCAAGTCTGGAGTCGCCAGGTGAGACATTCGGTTCATGAACCGGAAACCTATGACTTGAACCCTCAACCTCAGCCTTGGCAAGGCTATGCTCTACCATTAAGCTATTTCCGCCAGCTAGGGTAGTGGCGAAGCACTACTGAGCAATTCACGT